CCTTCCGCAGGGCCAGCATTTCTCGGGCTGAGTGTAATTCCAGGGTCACGGGTCTGACAGGGATCATGGTCAAAGTGTTTAACAACCAGTACTCCAGACCTGTGTGCACCCGCTGAGTGTCAGCCCAGGCTCAGTTTGAGCCATTTTCCCCCGAACCATTGACCTGAGCCCTTAACTATTATGTAAGAGATCGCGCCCATTTAGAAAGTGGTAAATGAGGCAAGCAAGCAGAAAGCAGGCACCTCCAGAGGCAAGAGGTCAAAGAGCAAGAGGCATGAGAGGGATGGGGAGGTCAGTTATCAAAATACAAGGTAAAGCATGTTCAAGGAGCTGTGCCAGCAGACCCTGTTTGCAATGCTGCGTCAGCCCTACAGAGCCTTCCCCATCGCACCCGTGTCCCCCTCTAGGGAGTTACTGGGAGTCCAGGAACCCCCCCTTGGCCTGACTGCTCTGGCCCTCCAGCATGGCCCCAACCCCACTCCTGATTCCTGACTACCTTTGGCTGTCACCTGGCATCAGGTGGTACCCCTCTCCTTTGCTCTCTGGAGTCTAGCCCATAATGGCCAAAACGTACTATCAGGTTTGATAAACTCTTTCATGTCAGTTGTACATTTCCCAACCAAAATCCTTTCTAAACCCTCAATGTTGTGCTGCCTGAAAAAAAAAAATTAATTTCACTCTTCAAAAATAAACAGAGAACTGGAAAATAAAAAACAAACAAGGGGCATTGGCTGGCTCAGTCAGTGGAGCCTGAGACTCTTGACCTTGGGGTTATGAGTTCCAGCCCCATGTTGGGTGTAGAAATTATTTAAAAAGAAAATCTTAAAAACAAACCAGAAGCCATGTTATTTATGCCTAACGTACACCAGTTGCGTAGAGCTATAGTTGCCTGCTCGCCGTTAAATGGCAAAGGATGGAAAGCACTGAGCTGCAATGACAGCATTGAATGTGGCCAGATGGGCGTGGGGGCACACAGAGCAGAGGGTCATATCACTAAACACAAGGGCCGTGGAGGAGCTCTGCACCAACAGGAGTTAGACCCGCTTCTCTCTCCTCTTCCACCTTTAGCCTTTCTCCACTTAGGATGAATTCTGGAAAAATCCCTGCTCACACAGCCTCTAGCTTGTGGCAAATATATGAAAATAATGTTCTTCACTCTCTGGTTTGAGGTTTGGTCCAAGCTGTTGTCACCAGCTCCGGTTTTAGTTTCTGGCCTACAGCTGTCTCCTCCCCCAAGCCAACCTCTCACACTCTCCTCCTCGGTGCAGCCTTTATTGCCAAGGCCACATGATTCCTCCCGAATTCCTTCCAGCCACGACCCACAGAGGTTTGGGATCGGGACTGCGCCCCTCCCCAAGCCTGATACTCCTGCGCCATGCAGGGCGCATAGTGCACGATGACCATCAAGGGAAACTGCTCTCTTCAACCCAGTGCCTTCCCTCCTCGGCGAAACCAGATGGCAACTCACTCCTCTTTCTTCTTCCAGCTCCTCTCCCAGAAAAGAATCCGTCTGACAAAGGCAGTAATGAGCACTGTAAGTTTTCTGTTTACGTCAAAGAGGAGAGGAGGAGAGAATTTAGGTCCTACAACCCCAAAGTGAAAGGCTTGAAATCCACCCTGGGTATTTCTGTGCTCCTGAGTCCTTTTTCAGTGTTTCCCTCCTTCTCCTCCCCCTTCCTCCCCCCCCCCCCCAACGAACACACACACACACACACACAAGCAGTTCGACTGTGCTCTAGTTTCCATTTTTAAATGGTTCATCCACCCTCAGGGCCATGCTCTGGAAGACAGAAGTCTCCCTGTTAGATTTCAGATACATGGGGGAGGAGTGGTTTTTTCAAGGCATAGGTCTGGACCCAGACTGTCTGGATCAAGTCCTAGCTCAGAGACTTTGGAAGGGTGTGAATTTAGGCAACTTACTTTTCTGTGCCCTCATCTGTCAAATGGGGATAATAGTATCTACCACGGACCATTGTCATGAGGACCAAATGCGATAATACATAAATCTTAAAACAGAACCTGGCCCCCTATATGTGCCATACATGTAATGTAGTTCTTTTCAGGATTTATCCTTGAGCGATAAGGTACGGACCACCTTTGACCCTCTGGAATCTAACCCCCATCCCAAGGACATTCCTTCTGAGGATGGTCCATGCTCACAACCAGAGGATTTGTGGTAAATAAAAAAATTTTAATTGGAATGTCTTTAAACCAATAGTCATTCGTTCAGTCAGTCTCAGTGAAATTCCTCCTCACAACAGCTCGGTTTTTAGTTCACTGACTTCTAGTCAGTTAATGTCCTCCATGGGAGCCACCCTGAAACTCTTCCCCATGCATTAAATCACATGACCTCATTCCAGATTTTTCCGACAACCTCTCTGTGTCTCTTTAGTACATGCACCAAATCAGGCCAAGCAAGAGCCCTGGCTCCTGGCTCTCATCGTGTTCCCTCCTGTCAAATGAGATGGCATCAGGACATCACAAAAGCACCTTCACAATTTTAAAAGGATCTGGAGGAGCATAGGGGCAATACAAGCCACAGTACATCCTGAAGCCAAATGTTTTTGAAGACAGCTCTCCACCGATGCCTCAAAGCCCGGCTAGAGTGGCAGGATTTCATCGAGCTTTGTATGTCCCCATGGTAATCGCTGTACGTGCAAAGCTTATAAATACATACTAAGAGAGACTGAGCTGAAAACATGCTGCACAGAGAGTGAGGAGAGCCAGGTCTAAGCCCCAACCCTGTGGCTGAGCAACTCTGGGGAAGCTATTAATAGCTGTCTGAACGAGTGTTTCAGACCGCATCAGTGTTTCTCAAAGTACGTGCCTCAGGTCACCTACGTCAAAAATCAATGGTCACGCTTTTTTAAAGTGCATATTCTTAGGTCCCTCCGAGAACTACTGAATCAGAATCTCTGGGTAGGGGGACCGAGAATCCCACTGTCAACAAGATTCTCACATGGTGTTTTTTTTGTTTTGTTTTGTTTTTTTTAAATATTTTATTTATTTATTCATGAGAGACAGAGAGAGAGAGGCAGAGGGAGAAGCAGGCTCCCAAGGAGCAGGAAGCCCGACGCGGGGCTCGATCCCAGGACCCTGAGATCATGACCTGAGCCGAAGGCAGACGCTTAACCATCTGAGCCACCCAGGCGCCCTCACATGGTTTTTAAACACCCTGAAATCTGAGACTCACGGGGCTCTATGATCGATCCCTCCAGAATGTTAGACTTCCCTGCTTATTCACACAGGTTGGAATTTGATTGCTTCGGACCCAAAGAATCATTGCAAAATGAGCAACACCAGGCAGGATATGTTCTTCAGAATACTCTTTCATTGACACACACTTACCCAGCACTTTCTAAGTGTCAGGCACTATTCTTGGGATAGATCCTTCAAAAGAGAGAAAAATGCCTTTCCTCATGGAGTCGACATTCTAGTGTGTGAGAGCAGAGATAATAAGCTACCAGTAAATCTAAAGATAGGTGAATTTTATAGCATGTTAGTTGGTCATAAATGCGGTGGAGAAAAAAACAGAGCAAGAAGGGGGCAGTTTCCAGATGAAGGGATATTACAATTTCTTCTAAATTATATGTACCTGCAAAAATCAACTTGTATATTACAAAGGCCTGACAGGTAGGCCCACTGCACCTTGGACTTGAGGAATGTAGTAGATGTTTGTGCCCCATCCAGATCCCCTTTAGGGCCAATATGCCTCATCTGCCCACTCCCCAAACTCCCCTCCTCCTTACCCACCCCCTTCTACTACCCTGTCCATGACTCACTGACTAGTGACGCTGCCTTGCCTCAATGTGGGGTTAACTTAGGGTATCATCTGTGCTCCCCGAGCTTCTCAGGGAGGCCACGCCCTTCTAGTCATCCCCCTGCCCCATCCTGCTTCCCTCACTCCCCTTGTCCTGGGAGCACCCTCCCTAAATCACTTGCTCAAGAATCCCTGTCTCAAGTTCTGTTACTCTAGGGAAGATGGCCTACGGCAGGCCCCAGTCAACAGGATAAGATAGTCACTTGAGTGGACCAGGACGACTGAGGGTTGTGATGGCTCACTCTCCCCCAAATCTTCATTGTTCCATTTTCATCCTCAATTGATATGTAGCATTCAGAGTCTTTTTGGGTGCCTGATATTGCCCTGCAGAGAAAAACAGGTGAGGCGCTCTGAGAAGCACTCACTACCGGGTGGCTGCCCCTCAGTTCTCTCATTTCTTTACTCCTTCAGCCACAGACATTTCCGGAGGGCCTACAGTGTGGCAGGATGGCGCTGGCCTCGGGGACAGGGCACGAGGGCCTCGGCCAACCTCATACGCTAGGACCCTAGCGTCCCTTTACTGTCAAATCCCTAGTACTTGAAAATGACCACACATTCTGTACTATGGCTTAAAGATGCCTTAAAGATGATATTCATGTAACTTTCTCACCAGCCATGCTTTCTTAAAAAAATCCAACTTCAACACATCTCTGCTCAAATCAATAAGCCTTCCCACGTTGAGCGCCCCTTTGTTTTTTTTGTTGTTTTTTTTTTTAAAGATTTTATTTATTTATTTGACAGAGAAAGACACAGCGAGAGAGGGAACACAAACGGGGAGTGGGAGAGGGAGAAGCAGACTCCTGCCGAGCAGGGAGCCTGATGCGGGACTCGATCCCAGGACTCCGGGATCATGACCTGAGCTGAAGGCAGTCGCTTAACCAACTGAGCCACCCAGGCGCCCCTACTTGCTTGTTTTTCTTTTTTTTTTTTTAAAGATTTTATTTATTTATTTGCGAGAGAGAGAATGAGAGCAAGCGAGCACATGAGAGGGGGGAGGGTCAGAGGGGAGAAGCAGACCCCCCGCTGAGCAGGGAGCCCGACGCGGGACTTGATCCCCGGACTCCAGGATCATGACCTGAGCCGAAGGCAGTCGCCCAACCAACTGAGCCACCCAGGCGCCCCTCTTTTGTTCTTTTTTTAATATTTTATTTATTTATTTGAGAGAGAGAATGAGAGAGAGAGAGAGAATGAGAGGGTCAGAGGGAGAAGCAGACCCCCTACTGAGCAGGGAGCCCGACGGGGGACTCAATCCTGGGACCCCAGGATCCTGACCGGAGCCGAAGGCAGTCGCCCAACCGACTGAGCCACCCGGGCGCCCCAGAGGAAGAGTTTCTTTTTTCTTTTTTTTTTAAAGATTTTATTTATTTATTTGAGACAGAGAGAATGAGAGAGAGAGAGCACATGAGAGTGGGGAGGGTCAGAGGCAGAAGCAGGCTCCCCGCCGAGCAGGGAGCCCGATGCGGGACTCGATCCCGGGACTCCAGGATCCTGACCCGAGCCGAAGGCAGTCGCCCAACCGACTGAGCCACCTGGGCGCCCGAGCGCCCCTTTGGAGCACAGAGGGGGCGGGGGTGGGGGGTCCGCCAGCGGCATTGCCAACGGACTGCTCTGAGAGGCTAAGAACACGCGCCCCCATGGTTTTCAGCACAAAGACAAAAGCCCTACTTCTCCTTCAGAGATTCCACTTCGCACATTCACCACATCAGAGATTGATTTTCTTAAATGCCGTTGATGGATCCTGAAGCAGACATTCTTCACAGTCCTGACAGCACAGACATTCCCCAAATATTTGCAAGATGAAAAAAAAAAAACATCTTGGGAGGTTTTCCTCTAAAATAACATTTGGTAATAGAACTTTTCTTCGCTCCTGGCATTCGGGGCAGAGGGGAGCAACGTGGAAAAACTTAAAGTGGGCCCATCCATGGAAGTGGCCTGGGTGGTGAAGGTCGCCCTCCCTGCGGGTCTCAGACGGCTGAGGCTATGAAGCCTGCGCCCAGAAAGGGGGTGGTGGTGAGTGCGGGCAGCGCCCCTCCAGAGAGAGAGCTGAGCCCCCCCTCGCTCTGGTACAGTCAGAGCCTCCGTGAAGGCTTTAGGAACATGGTTTCCAACAGATGAAAGAGAACACACAGTTTTTCGTACCTACGGGGCTCAGGTCATCACACTCCAAAAGGATGCGGAGAGAGGAGGCACCTGCTAGAAGCGAGAAGGAAGAGCCCACTGCTGACTCACTGCTGAGGTGTCATGATTTCAGCAGGGTCCCCGCAGGTAGGAAGAGCTGTTGTGCTACAGACCCCTCTCTCCTGCAAAGGCAAGTGCCTCTTCCCAGCTCGGCTCTTCCCCTCCGCCCCCAGCTGTCTCCCCACGACAGGGGGGCCTCGATGGTATTGCTCAGCTGGCCCAGGGGAGCTTGTTAAAACACAGGTTTTGATTCAGTAGCTCCGAGTGGGACCCAACCGTCTGCGTTTCTTTCTTTCTTTCTTTTTTTTTTTAAAGATTTATTTATTTGAAAGAGAGAGAATGAGAGAGAGAGAGAGCACATGAGAGGGGGAAGGGTCAGAGGGAGAAGCAGACTCCCCGCCGAGCAGGGAGCCCAATGTGGACTCTATCCGGGGACTCCAGGATCCTGACCTGAGCCGAAGGCAGTCGCTTAACCAACTGAGCTACCCAGGTGCCCCCGTTTCTAACAAGCTGGCAAGTGGTTCTAATGCCCATGTGGTCTCTGAACCACCCTGGGGCAGCAGAGACCCAGCGAGGTCAAAACTTAGCCACATGAAGGGGAGGAAAGTGGCCTCATGTGGCCATTACATTGATAAAGGGTTTGTTTTTTTTTTTTTGGTGACAGCAGATCTTCGCTCTTATCCCCAGCAACGATCCCAGGGATAGGGTGCTGCTATGAGCGTTTCTTCTTGTCCCTAACTTTATCCATCACGCCGGCAGGCAGTAACTAAGTCCTTCCTGCCTCCTGTGACTGTGCCCAGAGCCGGCCGGCCCCCTGGAAGAGAACATTCACGAGACACAAAGCGTAAAGGGAAATCTTGCATTCACTAGGCGATTTTCTGCTCCAGCTCCAGCTCGTGCTGATTCAGGAGCCACGGCTCAGCAAGGCAGGCCTTTTCTCTGCGACGTCCAGGCTACGCTGCGAGCCGGCTTGGGCTTCTCCTCTCCAGTGGAGTGCGCTTTGCATTCAACAGCCGCTGCAGATGAAAGGGCCATTTGCTTCTAAATTGCATAAATTGCTCTTTCTTTTATTGCTCTCATCACAGGAGCGGCCCTAAAATTGGCGTGAAGAGCTCCCAGTCTGCAGGCTCTCTTGTTTCCCAAAGCTTGCTCATTTTTCACGGCTCTTGAACTCTCCCTCTCAATTCCGCCTGCCTGAGTGGGCCAGACGGCAGAGGACGGGATGGGGGTAGAGGGTGCTAATCAGTCCTGGCTGAGAGCAGCCCTGGCGAGAAGCCACGGCATGGGAGGCCTTGTCAGGTGGAGCGGAGCCCGTGCTTGGTGTGAGTGATGACTCTGGGATCACCAGAGAGTCCGAATAAGGTGCAGTTTGCGTAGCAACCAATATCTGCTTGAGTCACTGATGGATGTTTACTATATTATTAGAAAGGAGGCTGAAGCCATGACGATTCCTCAGTGGGGAAAGACAGATTGACACAGACATGAAAGCTGTCAAGTCAGAACGAGGCTCGCCCATCAGCGTTGTCTCCAGATTTTGTGTTCTTTGGTTCATGTCACAGAGGATGAAGCAGTCTATGCAGACGGCTGCTCAGAAGCATCATAGCATTAATCGGAGAGCGCCCTGCTGGGTGGGGAGGGGAGAGGGAAATGGCCTCAGGGAGGGTAATGACAATCTCTCTCTCTCTCGGAGGTCACCTCAGCTCACCAAGAGGTCCTTGAGACCGTTCGCGCTGGGACTGATTGACCTCTATGAGGCGAGGCTGGGCTGACAGGTCCTTCAAGAAGCTGGATCAAAATAGCTTCCCTGCCTGGACCCCATAGGGGTCTGGGGGTATTCTCAGGGGTATAGGTTTGGCCTGAGACCCATGCTGGGAAAAAAAGCCCTTTAAGTAGATGAGGGAGTTAATATGTTTAAAGAGTGTATATCAGCACCCAGCCTTATATAAATACTAGCTATTATTATTATTAGGCAACCCGATTCACTCGGGAGGTACCCCTAAACCCATCTGGAACTGAATGGCATCAGCCTGTCAGAAGTAACTGTCTTCCCTAAACCGTAAATCAGAGCCTCCACCAGCCTGTCATGATCAGTGTAATCTATGTCACGTGAGTTCTTCATTGATCATTGATTCTTTACCTCAGTTTTCTCATCTGTGGAATGGGGGGAGTAATAAGAATATCAGTCTTCGGGGGTTACGGTGAGGATTAAATGCGTTTGTGGGTGTAGAGCACTCAGCACAGTGCCTGGCACATAATTAATGCTACCGTATTGTCACATCTTTGGAGGTATTGGGTGTCATTGGCCATGTATCTACCAGGAGAAAGAGGATGGGGAACCACTACACTGGATTTTCTATTGGCTATTCCATCAGTAAATTGGTCAGTATTTACCCAGGGCTTTCCTGGTTGAAAACTCTATGCTTCCTTTATGGAAAACCAATTCTGTGTATCCAGGTTGAAAAAGCTGATACTTTAGGGATTAAGTGAATACCAAAGCATTATTTATTTATTTTACACAGATTCAATACAGATGTCCTTTCAAAATTCAGCTTCTTTAGTGCATTCTAAATGTAACTCAATTAATGCACTGATTTCATGGAATGTTCCAGAATACCCCCAGAACTTGTCCTGCTATTTCAGTACAATCCAAACTTCAGAGTAACCAAACAGCCCTCGTGGATGAAGGAAAGTTCTTCTATATCAGAGTCATAGAGGAATTGAATTATGGAAGAAATGGCACAGTTAAAAAAATTACCATTCCGTGGTGGTCATCAGTAGAGGATAGGATAGAGGCTAATGAGGAACTTTATAACAGAGACTCAGGCTATTTCCAGCCTAGATCACTGATCCATCTTGGCAACGCTTTAAATGCAATCAGACGTCATGAACCTCCAAATCCAGCATACAAACAGTATCACCAGTGAAGTGTACTTGAAAAAAGTTGAACTTGAGTCAAATCCAGCCATTAATTCTAATTCCTCATCTATAGAAAATATAGTGGGGAGAAGGCCATGTTAAATGGCATCATGAAAAAGGAATCAATGAAAGCTAGGATGTAAGACACTCGAGAATCTGATTTGGTTTCTTTCGCAAGTCAGTTACTTGTAAAGAAAAATGCAGGAAGGACTCTTCTAGATTAAAAGTGACTTAAAGAATACTTGAGACGTAACCACTGAATAAACTCAATAGACTGTTTGGATTCTGATTTGAGCAAACAATTGACATGTGGCCTGGGCTCCACCAATCAGACACCATGCGCGCATGAAACTTCTCTTAGAAAGTGGGTAATGTAAGGATGCCAGCACCATCTAGAATCTATTTTTTGGTGAAGTTGGTAGAGGGGATTTTTTTGGCGGGGGCAGTAACCGAAAGGTTGTTTTTGGTGCAGAAGTGCTCCTGGTACATCCAAAGGCAGTGGAAGTTGTAGTTAAGGAAGTCCCTGGTCTAAGTTGCAATGCTGTAAATTGCAGCACCAGGGCCTGATGGCCACGTGACTGCTTCCCCTCAAAACAGCCCCAAGCGTGTTTCTCCAGTCCTCCTGGTAATTGTCAGCTACCCGATACTCTTCTGGTAAATTCCTTTTCTACCTGATCGAAGAAATTTCAGTGAAAGGAGTGCAGGCTTGTGAACCACAAATCATGTTTAAAGAATATACCCTGGAAGGAGAGAATGAAAAAAAATTTTGTGTATGGTAAAGTATATAGATAAAAGTTACCACTTTAACCATTTGTAAGTGTCCAAGTACTAGCACTAAGTACATTCACCATGTTGTGTAACCACCACCGCTATCTACTTCCAGAACTTTGAGAATGAAACATTTTAACACGGATTCCTGTCTTTGAAGATCCTAGGTTTCTAGGTCACTTTTAATTCAAGTTAACAAAGCATTCACTAATTTCCACAATGTGGGCTCCACAGCTCTGCTCTTTATTGCTGTGCTGCCAGGACCGAGGAGGAACCTGAAAAAATGGTCAGAGAGGATATTTTTTCATCCTGTCCTGTGCAGGCTGAATGATACATTGACAGGTGTGCCCACACACTGTGTGTGGACAGATGTTCCTTTAGGGGGAAGAAGCGGTTATTACCGAAGTTGTGAAGCTGCAATTCCCAGCCCGGCCCCTGGGTGTGGGGAGCTGGAAAAGCTAATTTAAAATTTAACTTTTAACCTGGGATGAAGCTAACAAAGTCTACTGAGGACCCACGTAGCTAGCATTAAAACAAGTTTCTGCTTCCCAGAAGTTCAGACAGGCTTTTGGTGATAGGATAAGAATTTCTAAGACTTCTGGGAGTAAAATTAGTAAAAAACAAAACAAAAAAACAAAAACAAACCCACAATATTTGGTGGTGGAAAAGTTGGGGGAATCATTCATTCAACAGTATTTATTGAGAACCTGCTTTGTGCCAGGTTCTTTTCTGGGTACGGAGATGTCGGCCACCAACAAAACAGACATGTGGCTCCTATCTAGAGCTTCTAAACGAATGAAGAGAGGCAGAAATCAAACAACTGTTAGCTATGTCTGGTGGGGCAAGTGCTAGAAAGAAAAATGAGGTGGGATAAGGTTGGAGACAGTGACTAGAGGTGTATGTTGTTTTTGATACAGTCATCGTGGAGGGTCTCTCCACGTGGAGGGTGACATTTGAGCAGGGGCCCGAGGAAAGAGAGGGAAGGTGTCATATAGACATCTAGAGTGTTCCAGAAAAAGAGAGCAGGAGGTGCAGAGCTCGGAGGCAGGAATGGGTTTGGCAGATCCTGGGATCCACAAGGTCAGTGTGTCCAGAGTGAAGCCAGAGGAGAGTTGCAGGCAAGAGGGTTCAAGAGGCAGCAGAGAAGATATTTTGCTCTGAATATCCTGAAAAAGTATTGCAGGACATGGCTCATGTAGCAGCTGGGTCTCAAATGAGAGGTTTTCTTGAAAGAGTTTACCCTTCTGTAGGGCAAGGGGGACGAAGGGACCCCTTGCTCTTTCCTCACAGGCTCTTTGATAGCTCCCCTCCTGAGTCCTAGCTATCGGGGTGAATCACCATTTTTTATTCTCTGGCTTCCTGGGCCTTAGCTGGCTTTTCTGCAGCGAGCTGGGAGCCATTGGTTTGCCTCCTGCAAGCCCTGGGCAGAGTCTGTCTTGGGCCAACCATGTTGTCAGCGAGTGGGGTACGAGCGTTATCAAGAAGGTAAAGATGCGGGCGCCTGGGTGGCTCAGTTGTTAAGCGTCTGCCTTCGGCTCAGGTCATGATCCCAGGGTCCTGGGATCGAGCCCCGCATCGGGCTCCCTGCTCAGCAGGAAGCCTGTTTCTCCCTCTCCCACTCTCCCTGCTTGTGTTCCCTCTCTCGCTGTGTCTCTCTCTGTCAAATAAATAAATAAAATCTTTAAAAAAAAAAAAAAAAAAAAGAAGGTAAAGATGCAAGTGTGAGAAGACAAGGAAAGATCCAGCAAGGAAGGACAAAGGGAGGAGAGAGGACTTCAGGACAAAAGTCGGTCAAAGTGTGGGATGACGAGGGTCGGAGGACAATCCCCTCTCCCCCAACAGTGTTTGCTTGGGCCTCCGGCAAAGTGAGAGCTTGTACTTCTGCCTCATAGTTTCCCATTAATTTTCTTGACATTAAGAGGAGACGAGACTGCTGGAGCCGAGCAGAGTCCCGCAGCGGGTACCCGAGCTCCTCCCTGGGATGCTCACGTCCGTGGACTGGGTCAGATTTGAAACTGGTGCTCTGGAGCCACTCGTTGCACGCATGCCCCCTGCACGGTTAAACATCTGAGTAAATACGGGGGGAAATTATGCTGTTTTCGTTCAGCCTGTTCTTTGCTGACACAAAGTATTCTTTGTTATAAAATTGAAACTATCAGAATTAGCACGGGAAGGGCCATTCTTTCGGTCTGATATGTGATCTCAGTATCCCCAAGTTTCCCAGACTTCTGTAAGCTCATTTTTTTAATACTCAAATTTTATAGGTTGAACCCTTGCTCTGAGTGCAGGAAAGCGGATCCCTCTGGATATTTCTGAAGAGATCTGGCACGTACTTGTGTGCCCTGGATGTTGCCTGTCCCTCGCCCCCACCTCCCACCTCATGGCACCTTCTGGTTTTCTGCCTTCAGGTGTCTCCTCACTTCTTCTCACAATACTGCTCTCTCTGCTTGGCTTCAACCCAGCTGTGGACACAGCCCCCTCCTTTATTCCCCACTCACCTCCAGAGCCCAGCTGGTGTGTGTGGAGGCAGGGGTGAGAGTCAAAATATTAATAACTGCCGTGGCCCATGGAATGGCCAATCAGTCCTAATGGGTCCCTGCTGTGTCTAGACCACTGGGGAGGTCAAGGGGTCATGGGTTTGGGGCCAGGGGGCTTAAGGCAATGGTGGTGGGAACTGGGGGAGAAGGTACAGGACAAGAGGCTATTTACCAGTATGTACACTAGTCTTGTGCAAGATTTGCGGAAGGATGGGCTTGTTGCTGGGCAACTTAAAATTAGGTCTCAGACATCACTGCAAGCCTATGAGTCAAGCCCCATTAAAAGGAGCCCTGCATCAGGGGTCTCCCTTCTTGGGCACCAGCTGGCCTTCATGATTCTGGGGTCTCTCTTTCCTCAACCAAGTTCCTTCTCCGATCTCTCAAGTCCAGAATTCCTTCCTCACCTAGCTCAAACATTTGTGAGGAAACGGAGAATCCCTTCACAGAAATGACCAAAAAGACTCTCCAAGGAAGTCATAGTCATGATTTAACTTCATCTACGAAGAGCCCCTCATTTTTGCACATCCAGCATGCCCCTGATTGTTTTCTCAACAGCAGGGCGGTTTCATCCTGAGGACGAACTCTGTCCTCACTCCCCTAGAGCAAGGAGTACAACTTGCAGCCATCTTTTAAAATAACATTTTGGGGGCGCCTGGGTGGCTCAGTCATTAAGCGTCTGGCTTTGGCTCGGGTCATGGTCCCAGGGTCCTGGGATCGAGCCCCGCGTCCAGCTCCCTGCTCAGCGGGAAGCCTGCTTCTTCCTCTCCCACTCCCCCTGCTTGTGTTCCCTCTCTCGCTGTGTCTCTCTCTATCAAAAATTGAATGGAATCTTTGGAAAAAAAATAACATTTTGGGTCTTCTACCATAGACATGGACAGCTCGTGGCCAGTGTCTGGTCGATAATAAAGGCTAATGACTGATCTTTTAGTAACAAAATAAGTGATATTTTTGTCCATCACCACCTAGTCACACATCTTTGGAGTTTCTCAGTGACCTTCTTGAAGAAACTGATTTTTGTCTTCACTCATCTGTTCAACAAATGTATTGAGAGCTAACTACGTGCTAGGCACTGTGCTCAGAGTTCAGGGAAACAGAAGAAAACAAAAAAAGATGAAGATCGCTGCTCTCATGGAGCTTATATTTTAGTGAGGGAGAAAACCATCATAATCATCTAAATATCAACAAAACAATCAACATAACCAAAATAAGTAAAACCTAGAGGATATGAAATAGTAATAAATGCTAAGCAGCTAAAAAGCAGGAAGGACAAGTAAGTAGTGTTAAGGGGATTTTAGACAGATTTTGTGTGATTTTAGACAACGAGTGAAGACCTCTGGGAGGAGGTGACTTTTGAATCACCTGAAGAAGGAGAAGGGTGAGCTGATATCTGGGAGTGGGATGGGGAAGAGAAAACCCATTGTCACATTGTGAGCAAAACCAATGACACTGAGAAACCTCAGTTCGTAATAGTGATTGAATCCAAATATAGACCAGCACTCTAGGTGGTCCTTGGTTTTCTCCTTCACTGAGTAAGGGTGAGGTTTTTTTTGTTTCAAGAAGGAGCTACGTTTCCTCACTTTCAGTGCTTTGGGTAACCCATCACACTTTCCTTCCATCTCACTAAGCTAGAGGAGGAGATCTCCAGCACGGCAGTGTCATACTGTTATACTTATGGTTTGTTTATGGCAGGAAATAAAAATGAATCTGACATTTATTCTCTTGGTGCCCTGCATTTTTCCCAGTAAACCAATCATGACTGGTAAATTAATTATGGGCTGCTATTATGCTTTAGAATAGGTACAGCTGTTCCAAATGAGCTCGCATTGGAATAACCCAGTAACAAATGCTTGTTATCACATTTCCAGAGTGCATCGGCATTGGGCAGTTTTGATCGTCCACAGACTCTGTTGCCTATGGCAACAAGTGTTTAGATTTAGGTTGATAGGAGCCTGTAAGAAGTGATCGATTTTTAGAGGATTTCAAGGTTTAAAAATAGTTCTCTCTCTTAATGGCTCATGTTCCTGTCATATCTTGTACCCTTTGAGTTTGAAGATGGCATTTTTTTTTTTTAAGATTTCATTTATGAGAGAGAAAGAGTGAGGGTGCATGCATGAGCAAGGGGAGGGGTAGAGGGAGAGGGAGAAGCAGACTCCCCACTGAGCAGGGAACCTGACGTGGGGCTCCCTCCCAGGACCCTGGGATCATGACCTGACCCGAAGGCAGACGCTTCACCTGCACCACCCAGGCGCCCTTTGGAGATGGCATTCTTAATAATTAGGTCCACAGGTGTGCCTCTGACTAAACAGTCCTGTACCTGTTTGGTGATCTATGGCTATGGCCACAGTTATTTGTGGAGAATGTTGCTGTGTGGAGCTCTACCTCTACCCTGTATGTCCTTCACGGGGGTCATCTTTGCTAGGAGTGGCCAGCCACTTCTCAATAGCCATGTGCCCAGCCTGGCCAGCCAGTCTGCCTCCCTTCTTTTCAGCCCTGCCCTTCAATTGTTTAAATTACCTGCCAGAGGAAAGTATTGTCTGAATGGCTAGTTAGTCCTGGAAGAAATCCTAGTAAAACACACACAAAAGAACAGAGTTATAATTCCAACTTCCTCATTCACTTAGGCAAGTCCTTTCATTTCTCTGAGCCACAGTTTTCCCATCTGTAAAATGGGAAGAATACCAATCTCATAGGGCTGTAGGTCAATTAAATGAAATAATGTATATAAAATATCTCACATGATGCCCTGCTAGGAAGTAGATCATGGGCATTATTATTTATTTTGAAGATCAAAGGAGATCACAGTGGTGGGAGTATTTGGCCTTTGTGAAGAATCACCACCACCATCATAGATCCTTGCCTTTGCTACTTAGTTATAAACTCCTCTTTGACTTACCACAGTTCTGAGTATCCAAAGGACATTTTGGTCATCTCATTTGCTATGGTCGACTCTAGTGAAGGGCAGGAGACTACAATCAGATGCCTTGTGTTCCAGTGGCCGTGCCTCATTGCATCTTTAGGCAACCTTCAAGAAGCCATCTGTAAAATAGGGAAGTTGGACTCCTAGATTGCCACAGTGCTCGACAATTGTATAATCCCATGTAAAGTGAAGGCTGTGAAGTGAGAGACTAGGGAGGTTTCCACTTCAGCCCAGTTCTGTCTACCTTCAGCCTCACCCCGAAGGTGAGCCAGCCAGATTTTTTTTTTTTTTGGCCAGATCTTTCTGAAATGAAAACTTGATTATGACGCTTGGCTGCTTAAGATCTGTCAGCGACTTGCCATTGCCTTCAGAATGAAATTGAAATTCTATGGCATGGCATGGCATGCTAGGGGCAGCTTGTAACTGTGAAACACTGGAAACATACATGTTCCCTAATGAGAAACAAGTCAAACTATAATAACTCAGTATTCAGAATATCATTTCATAAGTTAAAATAATGTTGCCATGATTAGTAACAACTTGGAAAGTGTTTCCAATGAAAAAACTTTAAAAATGGAGGCAAAAGTATTTTATATATAGAATTATAACTATGCTAAATTATAGAAAATATTTTACTTTTCAAAAGACTGAATTTTAAAAACGCCAAATGTGAATATAATTGAGTAATTTTTCCTCCTTTGTAATTCTATATTTTGCAATTTTTTCTTTAATGAGAACATACTGTTTTATCAAAATTATTGTTTTCTTATTCTAGAAGTAAAACATGTTCATTTATTTTTTTAAAATATTTGACAGAGAGAGAATGAGAGAGAGCACGAGAGGGGGGAGGGTCAGAAGGAGAAGCAGACTCCCCGCTGAGCAGGGACCCCAATGTAGGACTCGATCCTGGGACCCCAGGATCATGACTTGAGCTGAAGGCTGTCACTTAACCAACTGAGCCACCCAGGTGCCCCAAGCATGTTCATTTTAGAAACTTCAAAAAAATCTAAGAAAAAACCCTAAAACTACCTATACTCCTGACCTCTCAGAAATAACCACTGTTAAATCTTCTGGTCTATTCTTATTCTTACATATAATGTAGGTGTATTTATTGTATATATACATATATATGTATATATTCTGATATATATACATGTATACAAAAATAATATACAAGAGGATTTAACAGTGGTTATAAATTTTAATTGTTTATTTATAAAAAATTTTTTTAATTATAAATTTTCTGGTACCCAGAGTGGGCAAAAACAGGTGAGAAGTATACTCTTTATAGATTCTTTTAATGAGGCTGACTCCTCTGGGTCTAACACATCTTGTGTGAAGGTTACTCACATTTTCTACCGTGGGATGGCAGCCCTGCTTTCTACCTTCAGGATACGCAGGGTGGAAAGTGTTTCTGGATCCCAGAAGAGGAAAACTGTTTTCTATGTGAGAACTTTAGTTGCCGTTTTACTCTCACTTCACTCCTGATGCTCAGAATTTAATTTGGAACTTCAGTATAACAGAGACATCAGTCAGAATATTGAATCATCTGTAACCCTGAAATCCTATCTTCATGAGTTCCCTTCCCGAAGGTTCCTAACTTGGTGGCACTCGGTTGTTCCCATTGAACACTTGTCATTTCCGTTGTTGGCTGCAGGCAATGAAAAGTGAATGGGGGATGAGGCAGTTTTCTGTGGGCCCAGCGCCATGATCCACGGCTGGGTAACTGGAGACATGAATCGGGAGTGGCAAGCACACTCATTTGTGCCCACAAAGATAGTTTCACCAAAATTGGAACCTGGTAGGGAGCCTATTATAGAAACTCAGCCCACTCACCAAGCCTGATCCTACCGGGAACTGAGCCGTGGGGCTTGCCCAACCGAACCATGAAACAAATGTATTCATTCAACAACTACTTGAATGGGGACTATATAGATGAGCCAGGTGCCAAGGGGACAATAGTAATCAAGATAGTAAGATCCATTCTGGTGGCAGAAATGCCCCCTCTTCTCAAGAAAAGGGAGCAAACCTCAGAGCAATCTGTTCTCTGATGGGCAGCAGGAAGGGTTTCCCAGGCAGAGGCTAGGACATGTGGAAAGGCAGCCAAGGGCTTGGTACATTCAAGAAACTGAAGACCAGTGCGGGTTCAGAGCAGTGAATAGGAAGTGGCAAAGAATGAGGGTGGAATTCACAGGGGATTGAAGCCATGGTGAACAGTGTGGGGGTCATGCTCTGGGCAGGATGCTGTACAAGGAGTTTAAACAGAGACAGGAGGCTGGACTTTGGCCACTCTGGCTTCCCCTCACTCCTCTCTACAGTGTTCACTTCCCTGTACCCACCTCACCACCCCCCATAGTCTCCATCCCATTCCCCAGATCCCTCCATTCCTAAGGTAACCCTCAATCATACAGGTAAATGCCAGAAGACATTCCAGGAGTCTGCACTGTAATGGTAGTCAAAGCCTTCATGTAAGGATGGATTCTCTGACCACAAGATGATAGACGTGCATTGCCAGGAGGTGGCAAATACGTGGAAAGTTAACCATGGACTGTTCTTCTAACTGGGATCACATAGCGCACATAAAGGTCAGACTGGTCTCAAAGGAAGCCAAGCAAGTACATGGTGCTCCCTTTCCTGAGGGAGGGACCACAGCATGCGGAGGGCAGGATTCAAATCTTAGGGTCTTAACAATGGATGGGATCCTGGCGTTCCTCTGAGCCTTAGCCCATTTCACCTGGGCTCTTCTGGAGGGCAGGCTCAAACGATTTCCTTCCTTTTAATCAGATTTGAGTAACAGGCATCTCATGTTTTCCGTCTCTTGATCACCCTCTGAGAGGGGCTAACAAATGGAGAAAGAGCCAGCCGGGCCCAGGTAATGCCCAGATTAAACATCTAGTCTTGGTGTCCTCAGAAGTGGTCGGTGTTCCATTTTCAGGAGAGCTACGCCTAAGCCTTGAAAGACTGAACTGAAATTTGTGGCATTACCTCCCTCTTAGTCTTCTCATGCAGGGTTTTTCCAAATAGATCTCAAGTCCCTCCAAATCTTTGACATCTAATCATGCAGTTGCTGCAAGAGATCTTCTGAATTATGGAAATGTTAATGCAATAAAGCAGCCACCTGTGGCCCGAGGACCGTGTCAAGTACTATCTGGTGGATCTCAGATACCCCACGTGTATCTCTGTCTCTCACACACCCCCTCATTCCCTCTTCAAAACACCAGCCTCGCCTTGGCACCGTGGGACTCTTAAGTCCCCTGTGCTCGGCAATGACTGACCCATTTCCTGCCCCAGCCTGCACAGGGCGAGAATGTGATGTTCCATTTGCTCTGTGAGAAGTTAAATGTCACCCTCTGATGTTTACTTGCTTTGAAGTTTCCTAGCCAGGGTATGTGGGGAAACTTTTCTCCATCCGACTCCTCCTTTACCCCCCGTGCTGTGTGCAAACAGTCCCTGCTTGTGATTGCACATTTCTGCCCTCACATCCTTCCAGGTGTGGGGTTTCTTATTGTCTTACTAACAAAAATAGCGACAGTATTTACCCCGGACTCACTGAGTCAGGCGCTCTTCTAAGCCTCGCAACGAGCATGTGAAGTGTTTGCACTCATGAACCCTCTTTTATAAACAAGGAAACTGAGGCACTGAGAGGTCAAGGAACCCGTCCAAGGTCACCCACTGTGAGGCAGAACTTGTGCTCTTAACCACTGGGATTGTCCTTCCTGGGCTCATTCCCCGCCCCGCCCCGCATCTAGGTCCTGTGCAACTACTTTCAACCAACACCTATTACCCTGTGCCAAGCACCCTGTCAGACGCTTGGGATTTGGGGCTGACTACGTGGAAAGCCTGGCCTACAGCAGAACAGAGACACGCAGGCACACTAGAAACCAGGTTGCCGAGTGGGGAAGGGGAGGCCGCACAGGGGTGGGAGGACTTCGAAGGGCAAGTGGGAGCCTGTGATACCTTATCCGGAACACTGAGGTGGTGGTAGGGGATAATGCTGCAAATCGTAAGCCTCTTTTCACCGTCAGATAGGCTTTGTTCCCTTCTGTCTCTTCAGTCCTGAGACTTCAGTGTTGCCTTCCGCCCCAGGAGAGCAGTTCTTGAACTTCGCTGTGCATTAAAGTCCCAGCAGCTGGCTGATGCCCTTGTGGCGACGTGGTTGAGCCAATTTTCAGCCCCCCTCACGCTCAGAGATGGTGTGTGCCGGAGTCTGGCCGATGAAATGGTGGGTGAGGGCCATGCCAGTCACCTCCTAGCCTGCCTCCTAAAACCGCCCTCGAAACCCTCCTTCCTCCTCTCTCTCAGAATCCCGTGGCAGACTCTGGGGCTATTCCAATGTACATGTGGGTTTGAGGGCTTGAGAATCACTAGCCCAATACATTTGTTGTAATCGCCACCTCATTACCCTTAATGTTTCTTGGGGTTTGGGGGGGAGGGGAGGGAAGCTTACAAATGCAGATTATCATTTTCTTCTTTTAACTTTTTTCTCCGAAAATCTTCCCTCAGCCCGCGCTTGCTGCTGAATTTACCCCTAAGCAGGTAAGAGCTGTGGGTGCCTGAGGGAGCTAACCTGCACTGGAGCAATCAGGGGGAAAAAAAAAAAAAAAGCCTTTTTTCCTCCCTTAGGACCAGAGTCCTGTACCATAAGGGGGCAGAGACACGGAGAGAATATAATATAAAGAATATTATACAAATAAAATAGCTACTATTTTGATAGAATTCAACATACATACATATATGCATACAACATTCGAGCATCTAGTGTATCCTGAGCACTATGCTAAGCACTCTACGGACAGTAGCTCATTCAATTCCAGCAACAACTCTAGGAGGCAGACATTATAATGATCTTATTATACAGATGAATCTAAGGCACAGAGAAAGGAAGTGATTTGCCCAGGGTCACACGACAAAGGGGAAGATGAGCCAGGACTGAAAGACCATCCAATGCCTAAGTCTACAGGACTAACCCCACATACAGGGCCTTCACCTAGCTGCCCCAGCTCCCAGGCCCCCATCCCACTACCACCCTGTCCCATCCCCTCACTCTTGGTGGCCCTTTTCATTCCAGACTGGACGGCACTCCCCTTGCCCACTACTCTCCACACTTTCTATAATTAAA